AAACTATTTTAAATATGTTATTTTTGATACAATTATTTCAGAGTAAATAAAAATGTACCTGCTCTTGGATATCCCTATTAGAATTAGTGTACTTTCTGATATTGTGAACTTTGATAAGATGGTCCTATTTTCCTATGGACTTTATTAATATGCTTTTTGAAAGACTGGAAATTTTAAGTGTGTAATTTTATATTATATCATAAATTTGTATGACTTCTTAAAATGAAATACCTGAGTTTTTCAGTAATTAAATCTACTGTATTCGATACATCTTTTCATTGGTTAAATTTTTACATCTCAAATTTTTAATTTTTAAAAAAATTTTATTCACCGGAATAGCTGTTTCAAAAATGATTACAACTAAGTGGCTTTTAGACTTTCAATGTTACACTAAAAGTGATGCTCAATTTGTTTATTAGTTTTACATAATGCTCACTAGTTAAAAATCTCAATACTATCGTGACATACTTTACCACACAGTGGGATATTATGTATGTGCTAGAGTTTAAGTTGAAAATCTAGGTTGAGAATCTATAGTGCACTGATTGAGATCTATGCTGCACAGCTTGTCAGCTGACATAGTAACCAAATGCATCAGATATTCATCTATTGATCAACACCTGAAGCAATGCTAATTGTCCTAATGAGCACTAGAAAAAAAATTATTAAAAATGTTGTTGCTTTTTTTTTTACTTCAGAGCTGTCGCACTTTATGATGTACTTTCTTCAGAGCGTGGAAGTGGGACTCAGAGTTGGGAATGGGGAGGTCTCCCTTGAAGAAATTCATCATAAGACCTCCATGTGGGACAAAGTGTATCTGAATGGGGCATGGCATTGACATCGAAACAAACAGGAGACAAGCACTTCCCAGGGCTCAGCCTATCCTGCCCTATTTGCCTTCATAGGAGGCACAGGAAAAAGAGATCTTGAAAATTCCCCAGGTTAAGTTCTTGAGTCGCAGGAAGTCCCAGTGTTTCAGGAGGTTTGTGTTCAGCTCCCCCTGCAGCCCCAGACACTGTGTCACTCACAGCACAGAAGTACTGGGCAGAGTCGCTCAAATGGGCGAAGGTTTTTCGAAGGTGGAAGGAGGATTCATTCTTCCTAAATTCAGCCTCGAAACCTTGGATGCCTTTAACCAGGGTGCTTCCTGATACATACTTCAGGAGAAGCTGGAGTCCTTGGTTGGGATACTGCACGTACCACCAGAGGGATGGTGTAAAAGAAACTGAATAGTTGCACCTCAGCTCCAGAGAGGCTCCTTCAGTGACAGTGACGTGAAGGTCAGGCTGGGTCACTGTCTGGGCCCCCGTTCCTCCTGCAACGGCAATGCTGTGTAAGTAAAGGCAGTACAGACTTCGCTCTGAAGAAAACATGTCTCTATTCAGATTCAATTAGAACTCGGTCGCTTTCATGAAAGGAGAGACGCAAATGGAACGTTACTCACCAAGGGCAAAAATCCCCTCAAGCACCAAGAGGAGCAGCAGGGGCATGGCTGAGCAGTGGAAACGCTGCAGGACCTGGGCAGGTGGGTCGGTGGCCAAGGTCTCTGAGCCTCAGGAGCCAGGAGGAGTGGGGAAGTTGGGCCGGACGAGTCCCTTGCTTTGACAAGTTTCAAAATGGCTAAAAAGAGTCTTTCCCTTGAAGAATCTGCATGCTATCTAGCTTCTTGTTCTCGTCACACGTCCTTACATACACAGACATCAGGGAGGGTACATCAGCCAGCTGCAGGGAGGAGGGGTGAGGGGATGATGATGATGATGTTGATGATCTGTAGTAAAAGCAGGTACCGCCTTTGTGCGACATCGCCCTCTAGAGGCCAGAGGCGGGACCAAGGATCCAAGAGAGCGAACTGCTTCCTCCTCATTGTGGAGATGTGATAAACAAAACATTCATCCGAAATCAAGCAGGTGGGAAGCGGGGAGGAGGGGATGGGTAAATTCACACCTAACGGGTACAGTACACACTATCTGGGGGATGGGCACACTTTGACTCAAACGGTACAAAAGCAATTTATGTAACCGAAACGTTTGTACCCCATAATATTCTGAAAAGAAAAAAAAAATACTCCCACAGAACGTGTTTCTCCCTTGCCGAATCTGTGATGCCGTCACCTTCTGTAGTACATACTGCCAATCGTAAAATACACGGAAAATGGGAGTTATGTGCAAACAGAAGAGTAATTTACTTCACTGAGAAATTGGTAACAAAAGACAGTACTCTGAACTTTGGAATACCATTGAGACACTCTATTTTTTTTGTCAAAGCCATTCATCAGAGAGAATATTGATTGCCTAAGGCTGAGCTGAGATTCACACTGCCCTGTGCTGCTGGATGTGAGCATCAAACTGGGTAAAAGAAATTATTCCTTTATTTGATGCTAAAGGAAAAAAAATAAATTAGACAAGAGATTTATACTTAAAATCAGCCTGCATTACATGACAATAATTAATTAGTCAATGCAAACTATTAAAGGCAATAATTTTCTTTGTCAAGCAGAAAGTGTGAAAGACTCCTTGGTTTCCGATCAACAAGTGTGATATTTGTAAGGCTATGTTGAAAAAGAGAAAGTGACAGCCCTGTTCTAATTCTCAATGCTCAGAATGCACTCATATGCCAAATTATGGAAATCTGACACTAAAAAAAAAACATTAACAAAGGCCCATCTATGGAGAAACTTGAGCAGCCTGGTACAGATAAGAAAATATAACATAAAAATAAGTGATTCTCGGACAACTTAAGAAGAGAAAAAGAAAAGCAAACCTATATGAACTCAAGAAAGCTGGAAGGCATGCAGTTAGGAGACCAGAAATGAGAGGAACTTGTGGGAGGAAGAGAGGACATGGGAGAGATTGATGGTGACACTTGGCAGAGCTAAGCAAGCAGCAGTCCTGTGTGCGTGCGAGACAGGGCGTATCCAACAGGGGCAGTTGCCTCCGTGGCCCAATAATAAGATGAAACTTTTGAATGAGAAGACTTCCCCAGACAATTTCTTTTTGCATGGAGGTTATTGCATCCTAGAAATGAGATAATCAGATAGGAAAGAAGTCTCAGGAAAATGAGAATCTAGCCAACACAGATTCTTTTCTCAAGATCAAAACAAACTCACTCCTTTCTATATACACTGTTGACTTGTACCAGCCTTGAATCTGTTCTGCCTTGGGCTTCTAATCTGTTTCTTGATTCTGCTCATGGATTGTTTTCACATGTATGACCAAGTAATATAGTCAGTTTGAATTTTTAAATATTACTAGAGCATGGTTTTGATTCAAAATTTCTAACTAAGCATATGTACTCTCCTTCTCTCTCTCCAAAATTCCCTCTGAAATGAAATTCAGAAGTGTAAACCTAAATCCATAACAATAAAAGTAATAAAAAAGACATCAACGATTTTCATCATATGGAAAGTAGATAGAAGCACATTGATGGATGAAACAAAGAGGAAAAAACATGGCCTCAAAGGAACTATGAGAAGATTACAGTGGAAATGAGGGCAAGGAAAATCTAGTCTAGGAGATCCTGGAAAAATTCCGGACTGAGAAAGAGTAGGTATAATGGAGGGTGGGAGGAACAGAACACAAGGGGACATAATGAAGGTTCATATGGGGAAAGCTGCACTAGCCTCTCTTGGTACTACCATCCTGTTACTGCACTTATATGTGAGAAGCATAATACAAAACATTTAACCCTGGGCATTTAATCTTCACAAGAGTTGAAATGACCCACCTGGGAAGGCTAATGTTTTTTAGTGTGAGTAGTTAACAAAGTTAGGCATTTTCAAACTGATATCAGGTGCAGGGAAAGAAAAGCAGCAACTTAATTACCAGTTTCCTGCCCATGCATTCCAACAAGAAACCTACCAATTCACATGATATGCCCACGTGCTAATCATACTGGCCAATATCCCATTCAGGAAAAAACCTTGTGATGAACATGGGCTGGATGACATGAGGAGTCCATCCTGATACTCAGTCCTTCATTCCTAAATATAAATCAAGAACAGGATAACATTAATGATATATGAGCATAGATGGTATTTCTTTCTGGTGGTCTTTGTACACATGGAAGCCCAGAAAGACGAACTGTGAATCATCATTTTCACCTGGACACAAAGTGATGGATAGAATGTCATGCAATCATTCCTATGGAGCTAAGATAATATACTTTTTCCATAGTCACTATTCTTAAAAATTCCTGAGTCTTAGCTTGGAATAATATTTTCTTACATTTATACCTTTTACTTATTTAGATGTTTGCTGTTAACAAGTACATTAACCTACATATTTCAACACTTTTAAAGATTGGTAAGGCCATCTGTATAAACTCCATTAAATAAAGAAAGAAATGAAAATGTAGAATACAATTATAAAGTCTATCATTTCTTGAATATTGCCCACATGCCTGGAGAGTTCCATCTTAATAGTGAACACTGTCGGTTCCCAGCCTAGATCCCTTTTCTCAGGTCAATGCAGACAATCCCCAGCTAGTGTGAGTGATGGCCACTCTTGGCTCACAGTTGCTCCTTTCCCTAGAAAATTGACCTGTGATTCAGTTTTACAATAAATGTTACTTTAAATTTTTTTCATCAGACCACAAACACATTTCTTGGACTTGGTATAAGTTACAGGGCAAATCTATAGTGCTGTGTAGTCAGGACAGGGGAACGTTCATATGATCTTCAGTATTTCCAACTCTCCTGAACATTTGCCAAAACATTCTAAATACCATATTGTCTTTGGTAATTGATCCATACAGGTGTTTATTCACCATAACAAAGCCCCTGGTGTCTGGAACTCTTTTAGATACTTACTCCAAGATCCTTCTCAAGAAATCTGAAGTCGTTCTGTGCTCCCACACCCTGCTGGGTGTATGGGGCCCTCTACGGCTATGGCTAATGCTCCCTGTGATCTCCATGCCACACTCAAGGACACAGGGATCAATAAATTCTCCACAGAGTTCAAGCCAGGAGTGTTGAGTTTGATTCATATTTTACCACCAAATGAACACATAGACCCTCTTTAATCTTCAATCTCTGCAACCATCTAGACTTTTTGTTTTAACCATTCTCACCCACTGACTCCAGTCCTTCCGTCTATCCATCAAATATATCCTTATAGAGTTCAGGAGTGGGGTTGCAGTTGAGAGAGGAGATGTGGTAGTGTTTTATAACTAAAATAATTAGACTTATAAAATTTCAAAATGTATAAAGTAACTATATGCACACTTTTGAATGCCAATCATACCTCAATAAAAAATATTTTTACAACTAGAGTGGAAAAAAAGACTGGATAACCCATTTCATCCAGAGTAATACTGTGTCTTTCATTTTTTTCATGGTCTCTATTATTTCCAGAATTGTGGAAATACTTTCCAAATCAATCAAACTCTCCATACTATTACTCTTAATTTCTATTTGCCTCCAGAGAGCAAAGAGAACTTCTCTGCCCTGCAATCTAAGTTCTGTATCAGGCATTGCTGGGGCCCCAGCAGGTTTGGGTGCAGGCTACAGGTGCCTGGGGAGCACTGTGTGCTGACTGCACAGAGGTAGGTGGCTGAGTCACTGGGCTGCGAGTCTCTGATGAGCAGGGAAACATATCGGCTGGCCATATTGAGATGTACTGTAAACCTTTCTTCTTCTTTGTCACCATTGGAGTATATGGACACCAGCAACTCAGGGCCTTTCCCAGAATATTGTCTGTACCACGTGAAGTACTGAGAAGCAGTGTTGCTATAAGTGCAGTTGAGAGAGGCCGTGGCTCCCTCAGAAACACTGAGGGATTCGGGAGTCTGCTCCACCTCCTTCTGTTGGCTCCTCACACCTGTGCAAAAGACAATATTCAGACAAAGAAGGTTGGTTGGGTAGTGGATGCTTCCTCCCCAGAATTTAAATCATCTTTTCACAGGCCTCCCACTCTCCCTTAGTTAGAGAAAAAAAAATCATGATTTTACCCACAGGCCTAGAACAGACAATAACTCCAAATTGTATACTTTATGTTCCTCTGATGATGCCCAATACTCACAGCTTAACTGAAGCCACAGGATTGCTAGCAAAACTCTGAAGGATTTCATCATTTTCTCCACTGGTTCAATGAGCATTCAAATTTTAATCTCTTAAAGAAATGAGCATAGCTCGGATGTTTCTAATTCTTCTTCTTTAAGAAGCATAAAAAGAATGTGTTGTACTTATTAGAAGAAAAATGCTTTTTTTATCACCTCAGCTATACCACTAAGCCACTCCCCTCATCCCTCTCTCTGTGTTCCTCTGTATCTGTCTGTCTGTCTGTCTCTTTCTCTCTCTCTCTCTCTCACACACACACACACACACACACACATATGCACACACACACAGACACACTAACTCACATATACACAGACAGGAGCACATGACAGCATTCCAAAGAGTCCCTGAGAAGACACTGCCATCTTGTGGACTCATGATAATGATCAAAGAAATATTCAGAATGCAGACTTTTGTTATATGAACTGTTACAAGTCAAAATCTGACACTTTATTTAAATTCAGAATATATAAGAAACTCAAACAACTCAACAGCAAAAAACCAAAAAATTCCATTAAAAAGTGGCAAAAGATCTTGCCCACTGTTACCACTTCTATTCAACATAGTACTGAAAGTCCTAGTCAGAGCAATAAGCCAAGAGAAAGAAATAAACGGTATTCAAATCAGGTTAAAGGAGGTCACGCTATCCATGTTTGCTAACAATATAATCTTGTATCTAAAAAACTCCAAAGACTCCTAGAATTGATGAATAAAAGCAGCAAAGTCTCAGGTTACAAAATCAATATACACAAATCTGTAGCATTTCTGTATACTAATAATAGTCAAGCTAAGAGTCAAATCAAGGACTCAATACCATTTATAATGGCTACAAAGAAAATAAAATACCTAGGAATATACTTAATCAAGGAGGTAAAACATCTCTACAAGGAAAACTACAAAACACTTATGAAAGAATCATAGATGAAACAAAAAAAAAAAAGGAAAAACATCTCACACTCATGGATTGGTAGAATCAACATCGCTAAAATGTCTGCACTGCCCAAAGTTATTTACAGATACAATGCAATTCCGATCAAAATATCAATTTCATATTTCACATGCCTAGAAAAAATAATCCTAAGCTTCATTTGTAAACAGAAAAGAGCCTGAATAGCCAAAGCAATCTTAAGCAAAAAGAACAAATCTGGTGGTATCACATTACCTGACTTTAAATTATACTACAAGGCTATAGTAACCAAAACAGTATAACAGTATAACAAAATTAGAGACATAGACTAATAGAACAGAACAGAGAAACCAGAAATAAAACCTGCCTACACCCAACTGTTTATTGACAAAGAAGACAACAATATACACTGGAGAAAGGAAGCCCTGTTCAATAAATGTTGTTGGAAAAATTGGATAGCCAATTGCAGAGGAATGAAACAGGACCCCTATCTCTCGACATAAACAAAAATTCAAGAAAGGTAAAGGACTTAAATGTCAGGCATAAAACCATTAAAATTCTAGAAGAAAACATAGGAAAAACTCTTCTAGACCTAGGCCTAGGGCAAGAATTTATGACTAAGACCTCAAAGCCTAATACTGGAAGAGCAAAAATAAATAAATGCAGCTTAAATAAATTAAAAAATTTCTGCAAAGCAAAGGAAATAATGAACAGAGTAAATAGACAATCTACAGAATGGGAGAAAATATTCTCAAACTATACATACAACAAAGTACTAATGTCCAAAATCTAAAAAGAACTCAAGCAAATTAGCAAGAAAAAAACAAACAGATCAATTAAAAGTTGGCAAAAGACCTGAACAGAAATTTTTCAAAAGAAGATAGACAAATGGCCAACAAACTTATGAAAAAATGCTCAATGTTACTAATCATCAGAGAAATACAAAGTAAAACCAAAATAACATACAACCTTACCCCTGTCAAACGGTCATCATTTAAATGTCAAAAAACAATAAATACTAGTGTAGATGCAGAGCAAAAGGAGCACTTATATACTCTTTGTGGAACTGCAAACTAGTACAACCTCTATGAAAAAACTGTATGAAGAATCCTCAAAGAAATAAAAGTAGAACTACCATTTGATCCAGCAATCCCACCACTTAGTATATACCCAAAGTAAAAGAAGTCGTTTTATCAAAAAGACCTGCACTCAAATGTTTATCGCAACAAAATTCACAGTTGCAAAGATGTGGAATCAATCTAAGTGCCCATAAATTCATGAATGGATAAAGAAAATATGGTATATATAAATACCATGGAGTACTACTCAGATATAAAAAGGACTGAAACAATGTCTTTCAGAGCAACTTGGATGCAACTGGAGACTATCAGCCTAAGTGAAGTATCTCAAGAATAGAAAAACAAACACCACATGTACTTACTAATAAGTGGGAGCTGAATGATGAGTACACACGGGCACAAAGAGATGTTAAGGACATTAGAAACCAAGAAGTGGGGAGGGATAAAATGTACCTACCAGTTACGATTAACACTATGCTAGTGATGGGCACACTAAAAGCTCCGACTTCAGTATCATACAATGAATCCATTTAATAAAAACATTCTTACTCCCTAAATATTTTGAAATTTAAAAAAAAGAAAAAACAAAGAATAGAAAGAATCATAATTATTTCCTTATTATTAGATACTTTCACTATTTGTGAAGTGGCATAGTGTTTTTTGAATGTGGACCTAAACTACTTGTAAATGTATATTGCAAACTGCAGGGCAACCACTAAAACAAGTTAAGAAAAAATATAACTGATATGCTAATATAGCAGAGAAAATGGAGTCATGTAAAATGCTCACTTAAGATCACAAAAAGCAGAAAATTTTTGAAGAAAAAATATGGAAAAAACAGTGGGAACAAATAGAAAACTGTAACAAATACTGTAGATATTAATCCAGCTGTATCAATAATCACTTTGAACATCAAGGCACCAAATAAAAGGCAATTATTGCCAGAGCAGATCCAAAGAAAAAGACTCAACTATGTGTTGTCTACAAGAAACTCACTTTAAATATAAAGTTACATATAGATAAAAGTGAATGGATAGAGAAAAATACATCATGCTGACTTTTATCAAAAGAAAGCAGGAGTACCTATATTAATTTCAGACAGAGAAGACTTAGAGCAAAGAATGTTATTAGAAATAAAGAGGTGCATTTCATAATGATAAAGGCATCAGGGGAAAGCTTCATGACATTGGATTTGGCAATAATTTCTTCTACGTGATACCAAAAGCATAGGATGCAAAAGAAAAATTGGACCACATCAAAGTTTAAAACTTCTGTGCATCAAAGGACACACAATCAATCAACAGAGTGAAAAGACAACCCAGGGAGTGGGGAAAAAATTGTAAATCATATATCTGATAAAAAGTCAATATCCAGAATATATAAAGAACTCTTACAACTCAACAACAAAAAACAGACAGCCAACTGAAAAATGGATAAAGGAGTTGTATAGGTATTTTCCAAAGGATATTCAATTGGCTGGTAAGCACAGGAAAAGAGGCTTGTCATCACTAATTATTTGGGTAATACGAATAAAAGCCATAATGATATACCACTTTATACTCATTAAGATGACTATTATCAAAAACAAAAATAGAAAAGCGTTGAAGAGGATGCGGAGAATTTGGAACCTTTGCGCACTGTTGGTGAGAATGTAAAATAGTGCAGCAGCCACTGTGGACAACAGTTTGGCCCTTATTCAAAAAATTAAAAATAGAAATACCCTATAATTCATTCAATAATTCCACTTCTGAGCATATACCCCCCAAATCAAAATAACTTGGGTATATACCCATAATATTAAGATATTTGCATACCCATGGTCACAGCAGCTTATTCAGAACAGCTAAAAGGGAGAAGCAGCCCAAACGTCCATTGAAAGTTAAATAGATAAACAAAATGTAGTATATAAATACAATGGAATATTATTCAGCCTTAAAAAGGAAGGAAATTCTGACAACGTGACACAACATGGATAAACTTTGAGAATATTATGCTAAATCAAATAAGCCAGTCACAAAAACATAAATACTATATGATCCCACTTATATACCTAGAGTAGTCAAATTCATAAAGACAGAAAGTAGAACGGTGGTTTCCGAGGCGTGAGGGTGGTGGAGAATGAAGAATTCTTGTTTAGTGGGTTCATAGTTTCGAGTTTGCAAATGAAAAGAGTTCTAAAGGTGGATGATAAGTGACAGTTGCACAACTATGTGAATATGCTTAATACCACTGAATGGTACACTTATTAATGGTTAAGATGGTGAATTTTATGTTATGTGTATTTATCCACAGCTAAAATAATTTTAAGAGATTTTAAACATGTTTTCCTTTAAGATTTCTACTGTACCTCTACTTTACACATGCAAATATAGGAGGAAGTTACAATAGATCACTTATCAACCAACAATTACCATTCAAATTTTAAGGCAGTAGAAACTAGGGCTGGAGATACAAGGAAGAAATTGAAGAGAATGAGGATTTTGGATTGTGGAACATTGAGCATAACAGGTCTGGGGGTGTGCAAAAAGATCCACATGATGGCATTAAAGGCTCTTGGAGAACTGATGAAGTGAAGGACAAAAGCAGAGAAAAGAGAGAATTCATTCTCTGAGTCTTCACGATGTCCCTCTAAGAGCCAGTAATTATCGATCATTTTATGTATAAGTCTGGTATGGGGCAGGTAAATTGACAGTATAGAAATTGAGCTCTTCCATGCTAGAGATTGTAATAAGTTATTAAATGGAATGGGTCCTGGGAATTTAACCATGTCAATGCAATCTTTTTTACATTACTAACTAAAAAAAAATGGGTGCTCTTTACACATTTTATAAGATTAAGAAAGCAAAAGAAGTCAGAAGGAGACAAATTAGGACTGTAAGGTGAATATCTAATGATTTCCCATCAAAACTCTCAGAAAATTGCCCTTGTTTGATGAGAGGAACGAGCAGGAGCATTGTTGTGGTGGAGAAGGACCCTCTGGCAAACATTTCCCTCTTAGCGTTCTTCTCCTAAAGCATTGACTAACTTTCTCAAAATACTCTCATAATAAGCAAATGTTATCATTCTATGGTCCTCCAGAAAGTCAATGACAAAATGGCTAAAGCATCCCAAGAAACAGTTGCCATGACCTTTGTCACTGACTGATCTGCTTTGACTTTGACTGGACCACTTCCACCTCCTGGTAGCCACTGCTTTAATTGTGCAGTGTCTTCAGAATCATACTGGTAAAGCCAAGCTTCATGTGCTGTAACAATTCTTTGAAGAAATGCTTCAGGATCATGATTCTACTCATTTAAAATTTCCGTTGAAAGCTCTCCTCTTGCCTGCAGCTGATCTGGGTGCAACAGTTTTGGCATCTATCAAACAGAAAGTTTGTTCAACTTTAATCTTTCAGCCAGAATTGTTTAAGATAAACCAGATGAAATGTCTGTGGTGTTGCCTATTGTTTCTTTGTTTATGCCGTTAATCATGGGTCCTCTTCAACGAACAAGATGAATGTTTTCCTCACAGACCGATGTTCATGACCTGCCACTGCAGGCTACATCTTCAACATCGTCTCATCCCTTCTTAAAATGAATTATCTATTTAAAAACTAGTGATTTCTTTGAGAAATTATCCCACAAAACTTTTCCATAAAGCATCAATGATTTCACAATTCTTCCATTCAAGCTTCGCCATAAATTCAATGTTTGTTCTTGCTTCAATTTTGACAGAATTCATGTTGCTCTAACAGGGGCTCTTTTCAAACTGATGCCCGTATCCTTCTTAGTGCCTCAAACTAGATCCTGTTCAGGCATGTTATAACAAATAGTATGAGTTTATTTTGATGCCAAAAAATTGAAATCCAGGAAGAGTTTTTCATAATATGCATTTACATGAACTTTTTAAGGACCCCTCATATTTATTGAATAAATTTATCTCAAAATCTAAAAACTCACACAGACTTTTAATAACATTTTTCAATCATATGTTTCTGAATTTCTGTAGCAATTCTTCCATCTCAATTTAATAGCCAAAAGGCAAATTGCTTATTGTAGTTGTTCTTTCTCTTTAATCTTCAGTCAAAAATTTGGTATGTGCCACTTCAAACCAGAGATTCAGTGACTGGAAAGTTTTGATGAATGATAATTCTGTAAATGGTCTATGAATTTAGACAAGTATTTTCTTTGAGTGTTTTCCCTCCAACCTTACACCTGTGCTGCCACAGGCCTACCCACTTACTGTCTGTGATGGTGATTTCTTGCCTTGGTCCCTACAGCAGGTGGATGTCACAAATAGAACCTTGGGGTTTTTGTACACCTCCCTCCAACAGTCTTGTTACTGTGGGCTCACTCAGGGCACAGAAATAGATCGCTGAGTCCCCCACTTGTGAAGCTGAGATGACAAGCTTGATGCTTTTGCTGGCCTTCTGGAAATTCAATGAATAGCGACCTTCTGTTGCGTTTTGCTGGTTATAGGAGTCCTGACGAATAAGGAGAATCATCTCCCCACTGCTGGGCTGCTTGTACCAGAATAGAGTGTAACTAGTCACACTCGTACTGGTGTCATATGTGCAGTCCAGAGTCACAGCCTCCTTCTCCTGCACCGACATTGCTGGTTGGGACTGGGTTACCTTCTGGGCAATACCAGCTCCTAAAGGAAAAAAGATAGAATTTGGAAGGTTTAGGGATAAGTGGTGTGGGGCAAAGAAATTCTATTTTTACAACCTGTTATTTCTCTTTCCCAACATCCCCATAAGACACTCCCTGTACCCCTAGTCCTTAGATCACAGAGGAAGCATATTCCCACTGAGCCATCCCTACCTAGCCACATTGAAGCTGTGACCACCTTCAGCAGGCTGCAGAGCAACATGTTTGGTTTTTCCTCTAGGGGGAAAATATCTTGTTCTCCTTCAATTCCAGGACTGCACTGTGAGGTGAGCCTGACAGGGTGAGAGAAGAATTACTGGGCTATGTGCTGCTGCTGCTGCTGCGCTAGAACAGGAAACAGAGGTTTCCTGGTGTAGCGAGTTGGTGTGTGTCATGTCAAACTTCTCTAACTACTGGCCAAGGATCTTACCCAATGCAAAGTTCCTTTTGGATTAACCAACACTTAATGTGATAACAATTAAATCTGAAAATAAACATAGGTGTATTGAAAAGAGAATTGATAACTCAACCAAATACTATATTCAGTCATTATATCTGTGATGGAACTGGGAGATTAGCACTTATTTTAAAATATTACATGTACATACAACTATTATGTACTCATAACAACTAAAAATTTTTAAATTAAGATAAGCAAACAATAACATTTTTAAAATACAAATGTAATGGATTATGGAGACAACAACATAAGATGCAGTAATCATGTATCCTCACATCTGTGTATGCTGTTGTTTCTACTAAGCTAGAAATTTATCACAATATAATAAAAAAGCAAAGCTGCTTGGCCTAATCTCTTCAGACCTTTCAACTTCCTTATTGATATAACAACATTCCTCCTCACTTCCAATGTCTGTTCAGTGCCTATCTTGGGGCAAAACAGCAGAAAAAACTAATCTCTCCTTGCTGAATAGTTTACAATGAAGCCCTCAGACATTGAGTGCTATCATAAAGGTCCCCTTCACTTCTCTATTTAGCTTTGACAACCAAACTGTGTTCAAAAAGGCCAGATTAGACACCAGAGTGTGGTCATTTTATTACCTGTTAAGATTTGAAGCTTAAATGTGTCTGAATTTGAGCTGTGTACTGGCTCTGCACACTCTGGCTAAAGAATTTTTGTTTCTATCTTTTGGAAAAATTGCCACCTAAATAAGATACAGCAGTCAAACCAATATCAATTACACTCTCTCTCTCTTTTAACCTAGAAATACACCAATAGAATATAAATCATGACTCCCACTCACTCCATTTTCAGTCCTGGAGAAAATGAGCCACCCAAGAGTCAACTTGCTTCTACTGGACAGGAGCTAGTGGTATAGAAACACAAATAATAAAAGCCAGTTGAGTTGCTGGGCCACGATACTGACCATTGTTGTTTAGCTGTTTTAACCCTAATTTAATCCAATGAGTTTCCCTATAAGAACAAGCCACTTAGCTAATAACTAACAACCATAACTCAGCTAAGAGGGATCATTCTCACTATACCAACTGCCAATTATATCCATCTGTAGGAAGAATATGAGGGATCTTCAAATTAACCTACCCTTGACCAGGGGTGGGAGAATTAGGGAATTAACCTCTTTATGCAGCCTCTTTATTTCTATTGATTTATCTACAACACTAGAAGACATAACTTTAAAAAGAAACTTGTACTAATGTTTAATTCAGTCAAAATATGAAAGTGAGGCAAGGATATTACAGCAAGCTATCTAAAAAATTAGCCATTAGTCCAAATGCTTTCTGCAGTCCACTAACAAGAATTAAGTAAGGTAGCTGAAAAATATGTATGAAAAACTTTCCCATATACCCCCAAAAGAAACATAAAGGTAGCAATAGAAATTAAATGTCTGGGAATAAATTTAACTATCTTGAAACAATGAAACTTTATAGAGAAAGAAAGGCATAGATTAACCGCAAGAAACGTAACATTCTTGAATAATCGTATAATTAAATATAATTTTAAGGAGTTTTATTCTTCACAAATCAATTTATGAACTTAATCAGAAAGTCTAAATTAAAATTTTGAATATACTATAGCAGAATTCACTTTTTGCATCTTTTATTAGCAAAGATCTACTGATTATTAACTACGGGAAAAAGCTTGTGCAAGTTCTGCAGATCCAGCAGTGATTAAAACTCACAACTTTCCCTTCTTAATTCTATCAGAGAGTAAATATGAACAAATACTAATTAGATTTTGAAAAGAAGAATAGATTGGTGAGTCCAATCTGAAACTCACATTCTCAAATCATTTCCTATCCTAACTTCCCTCAAACACACAAACATTATATATCCTATCTAGACTCTAAAGAAAAACCCAAATTACATTTTCTCAACAAGAAACAGCAGGTAGAAAGGGCTGTCAAATTTTACAACCCGTATAGAGAGTGAGAAAATAAAAAACACTGTGACTTATGGAAATCTTTCATGGAGCTGTTAAAAAGAATTTGTTTGAGAAGACTTGATGAAATGAGAAGTGCTCAATTCAAGACACAATATTAAGTGAAAAATCATGATCATATTTTAATAAGAATTTATGAAGATATTAATCAAACATTAGCAGAAATGTATCTGGGCACAGAATTATCAATTTCTTATTTTCCATATTTGACCTGTAATGTTTTATAATCAGAAAACAATAACGAAAGCAATTTTTGAAAGGTAAGAGTTATAAAGTCCATCTCTAATAGGGATTGTGGTAATGATACTCAGGGGTTCTTTATAGGAGAGGAGTCTGAATAGCAAAGGTAAAGTCATCTTTAAAGCCTGGAATACCAAATAAAACTTCACTAAATCTCTCCAAGAATCCATTACATGGCATTTCTGGATTGCTAAACACAGGGAGGGTGGCACAGCCAGAGAGGGCATGGAAGTTTTGCACCCCTTCCCCCATACCTTGCCCTATGCATCTCTTTATCTGATTGTTAATTTTACACTGTGTAAATTGAAGGTCTGTGCAAAAAGAAAGGGAGTGTGGCTTCAGCTCCAGTCTCAGGTTTGGGTATAGGTTACAGGTGCCTGGGAAGCAATGTGTACTCTCCGCACAGAAGTAGACAGCTGAGTCTCCAGCTTGGGTGCCCGCAATGTGCAGGGAGAGATGTTTGGCCGTCTTATTCAATAAAACGGTGAATCTTTGTTCTTGCTTGTTGTCCATATTTGAACGAATGTCTATGATGAATTGAGGACCTTTTCCAAGCTCTTGCTTATACCAAGGGAAGTAGTTCGAGGCGCTGTTTGAATAAGTACAGTTGATAACAGAGGTGTCTCCTTCCTGGACATTCAGGGTAGGAGGATGCAGCCCCACATTCTCTCCTCCACTTACACCTATTCACAAAGAAAAAGAGAAAGGAGAAGGGTTATTGGGTTATTATTCCCTAGAATTTTCTTTTTCTATAGTAACTAGAGGAAGGCTGAGTAAAGCAAGTTTTCTCCTGGACATCTAAAAACATCCACTAATGTACTCTTTTTCCCAAAATCCCTCAACTCACAATTCAGCTGCAGCCACAAGAGCATAAATGAAACTTGAATGGATGTCATCATTATTCTTCCTAATTAGGATCAGTCATGGACCTGCAATCTCCTGCCATAAGAGCTACTTGTTTTATCTGGTAGTCCCTTCTTTTCTCTGGCAATCATAGTGGTTTCTCACAGTGTCTACCCAGCCAATAAGAAAAAGGTTCTGCTTCTGTCATAAGACTATTCATTCAGAATCCACTAAAAGGAACCCTCTGCACATTCTGCTTCAGCAGATGAGCACTACCATCTTGTGGTCACATCCCCAACTACCGAACTTGCTGGGCGAATGTTCTTCTCTTACCGTATGAGGGACACAGATACATAAAAGCAGCAACAGGTGAAACAAATTAGGTTGTAAATCAGAGATTAAATGCACAATAAGAATGTAGAGATCAAGATTTATATTTATACATGCTTCTAAGTCATTATTAATAAATTGGAAAGAGGTAGATGCTGTTGGCATTTATTCAATGATGGATCAATTATACATGATTGAAATCAGGAAAGCACAATGATTCAAAGAAAAAACTTAATATCTTCCTTTTCAGCCAAATCTGTCATCATGATTTGTCTGTTGTAGAGAAAAACTCTTTCTTGAAGGAACATGTAAGCAAAGCTCAGAGTAAAAGAGAGAAGACTACTCTATTTCAAGTGCCTCTGATTTCAGGTTCTCCTCCAAGCCTGGTCTTGTCCATGGCCTTGCTATTCCCAGAGAATTGGCAGTACCAACAATCAATACGTGGAATCTTTCTTCAGTAACCATGACTGTAATAAAAAGTAAGGAATTAAATCACAGTAATGAAGATGCAGGGGGATAAGTTCCATGAGTTGTTAATACTCCAAACATAAAAAAGTGTGAGCTATAGATTGTTGGTTTGCAATGAGAAACCTGACATGCTTTAAGAAATCTCTTCCTATTGCTGTATGGCTTGCATTCTGCTAAATGCTGAAAGAGAGAGGAGAAATTCTCAGAAATCTTGGGATGCAGATTTAAAAAATGTAACTACATGCAAGCTTATCATTGAGGTGCCTGTATCTTTTGAAATCAAAATGGATAATATCAATATGGCATGTCCTTCAATACAATGACTGACGTATGTTTAGTGGAACTATCCTCCAAAGGATGAGCCAACCCTCCTGTCATGGATTCTTGCTGCTTTGGCCATTGCTGGCTTAGATTTTACACTATAATTTTTCTCCCAAACTCCACTACAATGTTCTTCTAAAAGATATTGATAAAGTCATTCAGTCCTGTCGATTTTCAGGATTATGTCCCTCTTCTAAAAACCCTTTCTCATCTACTTTAATTTCATGATATTTTCTGATTACCTACGAAAGACTAACTATTACGGAAGCCTAAATATTACCTGTGTCTCCTAGGGGAATAGTACAAATATGAAACTGACCCTAAAGATCTGATCATGAGAAATGGTCCCTAGGAAACCAAGACAACTTCCTTTCCAGAAGTGAAGCTCCCCTTCTGTGACTTGTACTCACTAGTCCTCTAGAGTTACAAAGAATAAATCTAATCTCTTATTCACATCTCACACCCTTAAAGATCTAAATACAGCTATGATGAAGAATCTCAACTCAATATATAAATATATATGTATGCATAAAATATATGTTTTTACATATATAAGGTTTTTCATTCTAATCATCTTCTCTTCTGTCACCTATTCCCCATTCAATAGAATACCCTAATCCTTCACCTGACCAATTTCTTTCTTTCTAAAGATAGACACCTGAGGTCAATATTTGGCCTTTTGAGTTATGCTGTCCAGAACTAAACGTAATGGTCTGAATATGACCACTCACATGGAGCACAGTGTTCCATATATTAACTATAGCTCTGGTATACCCATCCCCTGGACAGAATTCTAAGCACATAATTATTTCATTGAATATTGCCTGACCATTGTCAAAGTGTTGGCCCAAAAAAGCTTTTTCAGCAACTTCATGGACTGTCAGCTAATAAGGACAATGTTCTCCTTAGCTTCCCAATTTCAACCATCCTTATTTGACAATGTATGAGTGATGGTCATTATGTTCATATCCTTCCTTCAAGGCATATCAACTTCGCGTAATGAATATACCTTGCTATTTTTAGGAAAGTCCTTAAAAATACATCTGGTTTTTGGGATGGCACCATCACTTTCGGCTCATTCCAGGAGAAGCCAGTGATGGAATGATTTGCTGGTAGAATAACAATGGCTCAGTCTGAGTCTCCTTTCCTGCCTCAAAGGGCAAACATTTACAAAAATTGGAACTCTCCATTCTCATTGTCGAATTGATTGGACCAAGGCTTTCCCAGTCCCAAACTGCAGAGATCAAAGTGGCTGGGCTTCCACTAGACAGTTTCTCTTTGTTCAGCAATATGGTCCTGGGGGAATGAGGCAGAAAAAAAAGAATGCTAAGGAGGAAGTGAGGAACTCTAGTTCCTTTCTACTCTCAGCTCATTTACTATCTATTTGTTTCCTACTGGCATCTTGGATATAGTTTCCCTATTTGTAAAATGATTCTGCACTAAAGGATTTCTAAAGGCTTTTAAAGTTCTAAAATCCTTTGCAATTTAACAGAGCATATATTTAGTGAGGGCTGGTTGTGTGCAGCATGGAGTGATAGGAGAATGGGGAGAAATTATCTTGCCTTATGGAACTCCAAAAACATTTTCACGCCCACCTGCAATTTAGTGGGTCTGAGGTTACCCCTAACCAATCCTTGGGCTCTTTAAAAGTGGAGATCGGATCCTCAGGATGAGTTCTTGTCTGGGTTTTCATTCCTCCTATACTATCAGTGATAGATTATGGATTGAGAGGAGCCTAAATCCATAGTAAAATGGGATAAAATGGGACTTTTCTCACTAAGTGTAAAAACCATCACAGGCAGTGATATGTGAATAGACTTCATGACTGAGCCATGGGTAAGCAGGATGCTCCTTTCTGGAGATCTATTTCTTATATTTATATGTATAATATATCATATCTTTCTTGAAGAAAATACACACACACACACCTCAGCAACTTGGAAAACCTGGAAGAAGTGGGTGAGTTTGCTAATATGTAAAGCAAAAGGCACTTTCTCAAACATCTTGATTGCTTTCTGGCTCAAGCTCCCTTCCTGCAAAGTCAGTTTAGGGGTTCAAGATTCCCAGCCAGAGCTAGCTATATACTTTGTGGGACCCAGTGCAAAATAAAATGTTGGGATTCCTTGTTCAAAAGCAAAGAGAGGCAGGAGGATTGCTTGAGCTCAGGAGTTTGAGACCAGCCTGAGCAAGAGTGAGACCCCGTTTCTACCAAAAATAGAAAGAAATTAGCCAAACAACTAAAAATGGAAAAAATAAATAAATAAACCCTATTGTGTTTTACAAGTAATAAAATATTTTTTAAAGAAACCTTTATATTTTATTACCTAATGGCACTTTTTCCCACCTCAGCCTCCCAGAGTGCTAGGATTACAGGCTTGAGCCACCATACCAAGCCACACAATGGGGTTTATAATGGTACCTGAGAAACAACATAAATTTACAACTTGCTAAAAAAGTGGTGTCATAATTTTATGTAATATAACAATAATACTTTATTAATGCGGTATCTTAATTAATCATAAGATTTTTCTGCCTTACTTTTCTGCAAAATAATTTATTAGGTTACCGAAATTTAGCAACTTCATTTTCAAGCGCTACAGTTGAAAGTGATGTCAGGTTCTCCCAGTAAATGCAAGATCTTAAACAGATTTCTCATCATTTCTAACTTTGAGAAGGATAGTTAACTGATGCAACCGATACCAGAGCTCTTAAGAGTATTATATATACTGTAACAATGTTAACATTATCATCTGATGAATTAATTGAAATGTAAATTTTAGTAAATCAATGTTTCATGTTCCCTGTGAAACAATTTTTCTAAAATGACTTAATTCTTCAAGTAAAACAGTTTCATATAAATATGAATTTCACTTTAAATGTAAATTTATATAACATTTTAGTGTTACTTCTGAAATTTTCTGTAACTTATGGAAGTTGTATAAGAAAATGAAAGTGGCTTCATAATACAGAGTTCACAATGCTTGTTTATGCATACTATCACTGCATCTCCAATTGTAAGAAAAATTAATTAGAACATTATCCTCTATATTAATAACTGGTTCATTCAAAACTTCACATGAAAATAGTGTTCTTTTCTGTCAAGCAACTATCTTTACACTTAATTTCTATTTCTAAACCTGCAGATATTCACCTTGTAATAATAGATCAATTTTTAAGACCTGAGTTCTAACTCCCCAATATGTTTTATTGCACCATTCAAGTTTATGATTTTATTCTGTAATAATTTACTGACAAAATTTACTCCCAACCCCGTTGATTATCTGCAGAGCACCAGATAGCCCAGAGTGTGCCTGTGCTCTTGGAGTGGCCTGACCAACTCTCAGCCCACAGGCTGCCCACAGAGCCCATGAACCTGAGCCCACGTGTGTTCCTGTCCTGTGCATCTCCTCTGCTCACGCACATGCTCCGTCTTCTTATCAAATTCACTTACAAAATGTAAGTTCAAAGATGAAATTATTAAGAATTTCAAGGCAGCAATAAGGGAGCATTAAACCAAGCACCAGACCCTTTGTGAGAGTGGGCCTGTGGGACTGCACAGGTCACATGCCCAGGAAGCTGGCCCTGCTCCCAGCTTCACTGAAATTGACTGGCTTGTCTTCATCTTGCTTCTCAGGGTCCCACCTCTTCCTAGTTCATGCCCTCACATTAACATAAAATATCTTGCCAGACTGATATCTACAATTGTTGTAACTGATCCACA